AACAGAAAGAAACATAATAAGAAAATGATGAAAAGAAAAGAAAATTGAGTCATTTTAAGTGTTAAAATTGAATAGATATTATCTTGTCGATTAGTTAAATATGATCTGTGGTCATATAGACACACACATTCAGCAAGAGATTTTTTGATTGCTAGCCACTTCGCACACACACACACACACACACACATATATATATATATATATATATATATAAACAAATAGGTGCTGAACAATTCTCAGTTCAGGCAATATACTGGTCATGAATGGGATCGATTCTGTTCTTAATTTGGACCTGTCAGTAAAGGTCGCCATTTTACCTCTATTTAGACCAACAGAAATAAATAGAGGTAAAATGAAAAATGAAACGGCTCAGTTTTAATCATCTGAGAAAAATCTTTTTAGCTCCCATCAGCATGGCTGATGCTAACCACGAAGTGTGTGTTTCATTGTCCATTCTCTGATTAATGTTTTCAGCTAGCACAATGTGGAAATAGTATATGGAATCAATTACCAATTCTGCGGCTAAGAAATTTGGTTCACTAGATAATTTTTCTGGCCAGAATCTATCTTATTTATTTATAAGTCAGCCATTTGTACTTACTTTGAATATTACTGCCATATCTGGTCTAGTGCTCTTGTTATATATTTAGAAATTCTTGATAAAAACCAACGGAGTATTTGCGATGTTATTGGTCCTGACCTGACATCTCGTCTTCAGTCCCTTTACCTGATTTAAAGTTTAATTAATCTGATTTCAAATAAATATTACTCTTATTTTAAAAGCATAAAAGATATGAAGTTGGCTGTTTTTATGGGGCATTGACAACTATCTCGATAGCCTAATGTCTGGGACTTTTGCCTACGCGGTTAAAATTACTAGACGAATATAAAATAATCCACCCACTTTTAATAATTTTTTTTTTCAGTTAGGCAGTAATCTTAAAGATTTACGAAAATAATCTAAGTAATATAATTTTAAAAATTTTACGCACTTTGGGTTTAAATTTTCTATAGTTACCTCACTTATTTTCTGAAAATGTCGTGTATGGACTGCCGTATTTATAAAATCGGGACGTTTATACACTCGCGCACACACGCAAAAATCTAAACTTTTAAAAAAGTATTGTGCGTAGCTGAATTGTAATAAGCTTTTCCATTAGTAAATATATTTTTTGCTTAATAACAATAACCTAACCCGTATAAATTAATACGGAATTTCAAATGACTTTAAATTTAAAACTATAATTTATTCTTATTAAAATTAAAAAAAGTAAAATTCTTGTAAAAATTCACTATTCATCGAAAATACCTTTTTTTTCTTGAGCGTCCATATTCATAAAAGTAATTGAAACATTTTCTAATTAAATATTGGCTTTTAATAATTTCCTTTTTTTTTTGTTTAATTTTCCCATTCTGAGTAGATTTTCTATAAGAGGACAATTTTACAAGACACACACACACACACACACACAAAAGACTATTAAATAAAGACTTTGCGTTTACGGTTTAACTAACAGAAAATAAAATATCAATAATAATAACAATAACATTAATATAACTATATATATATAATATATATATATATATTACATGAATCATTCATACGAAAAACAGATATAGAAATTAATGATTTAAATGGCGAGAATACATCTTCGTAACAAATTTAATGAATTAAACTAACCCCGAACCTGTATATGAATGTTATGATCCCTGTTTATAAATTCCAGTTGCAAAAGGTTTTTTTTTTTTTTTTTTTCAAGCTTTCGTCTGTTCATACAGACATCTTCAGATATGGAAATAGATTTGTTTTTGTTTTTTACTTCTCGGTAATAAGAGGACAACGAAAATATAAATGTAATCCGAAAAATGTTTTTAGAAATGTGCTACTGCCAACTGCAAGAAATCTTTTGGAGCGTGTACTTTATTAAATTTGTTTGCGAAGATGTATTCTCGCCATTTAAATCATTAACTACTATATCTGCTTTTTGTATGAATGATTTAATGTAAATTGAACTGCACCACAAAACATATATATATATATATATATATATATGATATATAATTGGTATATATTAAAATTCAAAACCAACAATTACTATTCCAAAAGAGTGCTCAATACAAAGTAGAAAGATATAATTATTATTTTAAAAAAATTATAACATAAGTATGTTATAAAATCACTACAAAAATAGCCATTTTGTTTGAAATTACACTCGGTGTCTTATCAATGATGATGTTGAAGATAAAATAAATGGTTTTAAAAGTTTAGATTAATTAACGATCCTACACTTGGGGGAAACATTGTTACAAAAGCTAGAATAACCAATCAAAAACACAATATAGAAATATTCAAAGCTTGACAACGAAATCATGTTATAATAGCTATTCAGATATTTAAAATACGTGTAGTAAAAAAAACGAGACTAACCAATAATTATAAAATTATATGATAAAATTTAATATTAAAATTAAAAACTGGCAATTTTAAAATCCAAATTTA